CCCAAAGTAGTACTCCCAAAGTAGTACTCCCAAAGTAGTACTCCTAAAGTAGTACTCCCAAAGTAGTACTTCCAAAGTAGTACTCCTAAAGCAGTACTCCCAAAGTAGTACTTCCAAAGTAGTACTCCTAAAGTAGTACTCCCAAAGTAGTAGTCCTAAAGTAGTACTCCCAAAGTAGTACTTTCAAAATAACACTCTTAATGTAGTACTCCCAAAGTAGTACTCCCAAAGTAGTACGCCCAAAGTAGTACTCCCAAAGTAGTACTTCCAAAGTAGTACTTCCAAAGTAGTACTCCCAAAATAGTACTCCCAAAGTAGTACCTCCACATCAGTACTCCAAAAGTAGTACTTCCAAAAGTACTTCCAAAGAAGTACTTCCAAAGAAGTACTTCCAAAGTAGTACTCCCAAAGAAGTACGGCCAAAGTAGTACTCCTAAAGTATAGTAGTACACTCATAGTAGTGCTTTTAAAAGAGCTACTCCCATAGTAGTACTCCTAAAATAGTACTCCTAAAGTAGTACTCCTAAAGTAGTACTCCCAAAAAGTACTCGCAAAGTATTACTCCCAAAGTAGTACTCGCAAAGTAGTACTCCCATAGTAGCACTCTTAAAGTAGTACTCCCAAAGTAGTATTCCCAAAGTAGCACTCCTAAAATAGTACTCTCAAAGAAGTACTCCCAAAGTAGTACTTTCAAAGTAGTACTCCCGAAGTAGTACTACCGAAGTATTACACCCAAAGTAATATTCACAAAGTAGTACTCCCCATGTAGTACTCCCAAAGTAGTACTCCCAAATCAGTACTCCCAAATCAGTACTCCTAAATCAGTTCTCCCAAATCAGTACTCCCAATTTAGTACTCCAAAATTAGTACTCCAATTAGTAGTTCTCTAATAGTAGTGCTTCTAAAGGGGCTACTCCCATAGTAGTACTCCTAAATTAGTACTCCCAAAGTAGTACTCCCAAAGCAGTTTGCCCAAAGTGGTACTCCTAAATTAGTAAGCCCAAAGTAGTACTTTCAAGGTAGTACTCCCAAAGTAGTACACTCATAGTAGTGCTTCTAAAGGAGCTACTCCCATAGTAGTACTCCTAAAGTAGTACTCCTAAAGTAGTACTCCCAAAGTAGTACTACCGAAGTAGTACTCCCAAAGTAGTACTCTAAAAGTAGTACTCCCAAAGTAGTACTCCCAAAGAAGTACTTCCATAGCAGTACTCCCAAAGTAGAACTTCCAAAATATTTCTCCCAAAGTAGTACTCCCAAAGAAGTACTGCCAAAGTTGTACTCCCAAAGTAGTGATCCCAAAGAAGTACTGCCAATGTAGTACTCCTAAAGTAGTACTCCCAAAGTAGTACTCCCAAAATAGTACTCCCAATGTAGTACTCCCAAAGTAGTACTCCCAAAGTAGTACTTCCAAAGTAGTACTCCCAAAATAGTACTCCTAAAGTATTACTCCCAAAGTAGTACTCCTAAAGTAGTACTCCCAAAGTAGTACTCCTAAAGTAGTACTCCCAAAGTAGTACCCCCAAAGTAGTACTCCAAAATTAGTACTCCAAAATTAGTACTCCCATAGTAGTAATATTATGGTAGTGCTTCTAAAGGTACTTATGAACTCCCAAAGTAGTACTCCCAAAGTAGTACACCCAAAGTATTACTACCAAAGAAGTACTCCCAAAATTGTACTTCCAAAATAGTACTCCCAAAGTAGTACTCCCAAAGTAGTACTCCCAATGTAGTACTCCCAAAGTAGTACTTCCAAAGTAGTGCCCTAAAGTTACAAATGTAGGCCAATTTATGGAGAGCTGTTATTATAATTCGAAGGATTCTCCTTCAAGCTGGTTCCTATTATTAAACCGTGCTATTTCATAAACAATGTTGACAGCTTTGTTATAGTAATTATTAAAATTGCGTACAAGTATTCAAAATACATTCAGCATCATCACCCGTGAAAAGTGATAATGAACTGATCTGAGTATCCTGAGGTTTATGGTTTTAAAGTGAAATGACCCTATATCGTTCAAATGTCCTTATCCAGGATGTCCAATGTCTACAATACTCCTTGTTTACATACACTTCACAATATAACACATATTAAACAATATGGTTTTATGTAATCATATGATTTTTGGTCAAGACAGAACAAAAGACCAGCACATTTACGTATAATGTTGTAATGTTGTAGCTGATGATTGGAGTGTCAAATCGGAATTGATCGCACCACCATCTTTTATCAATATTTACCCTCTTTTGATAAAACATCATAAATGCAAATATATATTTCAGGTGTTATTAGATGTAATTTAATTTACTCTCCGTTAAACATTGTATAAAATATACACGATACAGCAACATGCGTTATGGTCTATGAAAGAGCTATAATCAATGCACTTTTGTAGCTATTAGTGTAGGTTACATGGTAAGATATGGAGCCGGAATGGATTTTATTTTATTGTAGATGACCAAAACCACCATCTGTTTAATTCGCTAATGTATACACATTTACTGATATGCGAATTAATTTCATGTGTAAAAGTTTACTTAAGAATATACTTGTGAACTAAATTAAACATTGTATTTTTTAACCAACACGTTTTTGGCGGTTTTGTTCTTGGAAAATATTTTAAATATAAAAGTATACTAAACACTATACACAACAATGCAGTTGTATTGCCCCACTGTAAGCTTGATAACACCGCATGTATTCATGTACCAACAATGTATTCCCGAGGTATCGGATTATGCGAGCCACAAAGTAGCATTTATATAACCGCATTACTGTAATGCTACTATTTAGCTAAAACTAGCCTCCTTACTAAAAGCTATTTCCATAATCTTGCTCCACTAAAAAAATCTTTAATTTATCAGTACAGTATAGATATACCTTAGTATTTAAGTCAAACTTTCAGCCTAAAACTTTATTATATTGGGTTTCTTGTAAGGCTTAAGAACTATACTATCGAGTAAACTAAGTGAATATTTAAGTTAGTCAGTATACATCAAAATTGTGTTGGTTAATTTAATAGGCTACACATTTAAAATAATGGAGTATAGTAACAACATGGATGGACTATATAAATCTTCACACCTAAAAGTGTTAAATTATAAGTAAATGTTCCTCTTTTATACATTCAAGTGAATCAAGGCAAACATTTGTTTGGTCGTTATTCTAAAGAGACGTCATTTTAACATTTATTTATTCAAGCTGCTTTCAACCTGCTTAAGTCTTTATGGTAAATGTTAAAAATTGGTGTTGCATGTGATCTAAAGAAAAGACTTGCACAATACTAATAGATTTATTTCGAAAGCAGAGATATATATATAATATAGCCTAATACATTCAGACTATAAAAGTTTAGATGTTTTTATTGTCCTAATATTAATACGAATGTAAAGTAATTGGCACATACATGTAAACCTACATTTATCCTAAGGGATTTACTGATCAGCAAGAATAGCCCATGGGAATGGGGCTTAATGTGGGATTTTATAGGGTGAAATATATATATTCTCTTCCCCCCCCCCTTAAATATATACCTTAGAATTTTTTAAATCATTTTGTAAAGCTTATTATAAATTATTTTACATTGGAGTATTGTTGCCAAATAGTAACGATAAAAATATGTACGTAAAAAATCCCACGTAATGCTTATGTAGGATATAAAAACTGTTGTAGTGCACTTGCTTATGGATATATTTTCACCACATTTGGCGAATGTATTTGTTCATCCTTTACTTCTAGCATTTCATGAAAGAACACATTTCCCCTCCACATAGCATAAAAATATGTACATGTAAAACCTAAAAATATAGGAAATAAATATTACTTTATTATAAGTAAATATTATACATTATTTTAGTAAAGATCCAATTAGACATATTGAAATTCGCCTAGTCTGCAGATTTGGTGCAGCAGAGGTATGGCTTTTGTTACATTAATAACCTTATAAATATGTAATACGTTTAATATACAAAAATAAAAATAAACACCGAAATAAATATAAATATTATGTTGAAAAAGGGTTTAATTGTAGAAATTAAAACACATAATAATATCATATTTTACAAATCTATTTTGTTTATAATCATTCAACATGGTATAACGGTAAAATGGCTATAATAGAGACAGAAATCATTGCATTATATAAATTTATTTGTGAAGAAGAATTAATATAAAAATATAAAATGTCAACTTTGATGGAAAAAGATAATTAGGCACTTAATTTATTTAGTTTTAACAAGTAAAGGCTTAATAACAATATGGTAGCAATTTTACAAAACTGTGTTTCATTATAAAAATATCACAGGAGAAAATTATATAAATAATAAGCTATTTTAAGTTATGCACAACTTTCTTAAGTACTAAACTATCAGTTAAAATAGTGCGAGATGTTAAAAAGTAGACCATAGTTGGCTCTTTTGAGAGTTTACTATCCGTTATATCACAGGTGATTCTACGACCAAAACAAGTACTGTACGCTATATCCATACGTAATATTTGTATAGTTTGAAAGCTGGAAGGTTTATATTTGCTGGATGTAAATGACAGTAAAACACCCACGATGTGTATATTTTGTACTTACAAAAGGGTTCTGGGATCTACATTTTTCTAACTGAGAATTAACATATGACTGCAAAATAAAATTTATAATTAAAGTTATGTTCCAATTTTCAATTTCCAATTTATAATTATGGGTATAGTAAAATAGGCCTATACATCAGTTTGAATGACATACGATAATAGTTTTTTTTTTCATATATTTGACATTTGTCGGTGAATATAAATATGACATATATATCTGAATCTGAATCTTAGTATCCTTAAAGTGTAGAATCAATAAACCAATAAATCTACTAATCCGTTGTTACTTTTAAGCAAATATTTTGTAAACTCTATTTTGTTTGAATCAAAGCTATAAAATATTCTCATTACTTTCAAATAGATGAATATTAGTTTTTTGAAACTGTTAAATTATTAATTATTAATATATTCTAATGTTTTTTTGCAGATGGTGAACTTCAGTGCAACCAAGTGTTAGGTAAGTTTGCATGAATAATCATTTTTATTTTATTTTACTTACGTTTTAAAACACATTCTATATGCATTCGAACACGTGAGACCTTAATCCGTTCCCCATAAAACTCGTGCTTCTCAAGAAAATATAATTGAAAGTGTTTATGACAAACATAATATTTTGTAGATTAATTCAAGCCACAAATATTACTTCATGAAAATGAATAACCTGTTCCATATGACTCTTGTAAAAACATGTTTAATACCACATTTGTATCAATATTATATTTATTGTATTCCTAATATATTTATAAAGTATTATATTTCCTACCGATACCAATTCGCTAAACAAAATAAAGCAGATTAGTTTTTAAACTTTGATGGTACACTTTAGCAATGTTATTATAAGATGTAATTTGCATAAATGCATTTACACCTTATTCGGAAAAGAGCTAGACTCACGAAGACAGTGTTTTATGATATTTGTTGAAAAGTAGTACCAATAAAAAAGATTCAGTACAGTGTAATATTGTGAATCTAAGCAAACAATGTTGGTACTAAGCCCGGGTTGTAAAACAAATTCAGGAGGCCGTTGCTTAAGCAGCATAAGAGGATTAACTCTAAGAACTTGTCTCGAGTCTAACAGGAAACTTCATTTGACTTTCATTTTGCACGAATTTATCCTTCGCTTGAGTTAAATTAGTAATGTATTTGTTGAATTGAACTATAAGATTTAATATGAGAAATATATAAAAAACCAATTGCATGTAGATACTTTTCTCTTGTAACTTTTTCATGCATTAGAACACATCTTTGATAGAATTTTTATTTTATTTAATGCAAAATTGTATTTACAAATGACACTTATGCGAGTGGAAAAATACGAACCGGACAATAGTATGTATACAATTATACTTAAAGTTGGTTTACAAAAAAATATTGACATTATGTAAAGTTTTATGCACATTTGTTTTAAAAACTATACCTTATTTACATAAATGATTATGTTGTGCTCTTTTTAATTTTAACGATTTATTTTAAGGGATTATAATTGAAATAGTACTATGCTGTTTGGTTTCAATTTAATTTCAAATCTATGATTCTGTTTTAAAATGTAATCAAAATTAATAAAATTTGTTTAAGTATTCTTTGTAAAGATATTAAAATAGGCCTATGTGAATGTCTGGGGATGTTTGTGTGAAATAAAATGTTTGAAAGCTCCATAAATTCAATTTATGAGGATTCATATCCCTAATATGATCCGAGTAATATGAACCTTGTAGGGTAAGTTGGTTTATAAACTGACTATAATATAATATTTTACTTCTAAAGCTTTAAATCCATTGGTATTAGTTTAATGTCTATGAGTGATGTGGTTTACTATTCAATGCCGTCTGAATCCTACGTCTATGTTAAACTATAAAGTAAATTAGTACTGTACAACATGAACAGTTTTATTCGCCACGTTGAGTAATATTTTACAAGTTTGAAGTAAGTATATAGTTGATTATAAAATATGTTCAAATTCCAGGTCATATCTGCTAACTTACCTTTTTTCCAAGTCTCTTCTCCCGTAAAAAAAACTGGTATAGCACCTGGTGTACTGTTAAGAGTCCAATGTTGGATACTTAGATCAACACCTATTTCAAATTACCCTGTTGTAATTCTACTGCATACAAATCATATTCTTATACTATTTCGGTTATTTTTATTAAATTATGTGGGCAGAACAAAGCCAGTTACAAATTTCTAATTATGAAATACAGTACACGTAAAAAATATTATGACGTAGAGCATAATAGTTATGTTATTTTCTTCTTTTTAGAGCAGACTAATTGCAAAAGGATGACTTCTTAGATATCCAAATAAGGATGCAACCTAGCTCGTGCCTTTATTTCGATCTCGTATCAGAAGAGGGATGAAGCTTGTTTAGTGAGAAATATAGTCTGTAAACATGTCAGTCAAAGTCTGCACGCTAAGATATCTACTGTTCGGTGCAATATTTTCAAATTTAATATTCTCAACTTTTCCTTTTCAAATGTTATTTTACGTTCCATGTTTTATTAATCATTATTACGATCATGTTATATGTTCTAAGTTTTTTCATAGTATTTCCAATCGGCTGTAATTATAAATAAGAGAAAGTATATAAAATCTTTTCTTAAAAAAATGTTATCGATATTTTGTTTTTTCCCTATAAATTATTTATTTTTTATTTCTTGCTAAACCATCTAATACTGGTAAACACATTATTTAGTTTTTTCCTGGCTCAATCTAAAAAATGTTAAGCTTTTTTATGTAAAAAATGTATATATCGTAACATATTTTGACACTTCTATGATTGTAAGTATAATTTCCAAGCTCAACTAACTGACGATGCAACGTTTTACCAAATGCTTTGTGTTTTTATTATTGCAATTACCCAGTACCGTCAATAGAAAATACCTATGGTCATAAGGTCGTTAACTTATAATTTTCACTCGTAAAAGTTAACTTGTTGTAGGCATGTAACAAATAAAAATAGTATTTTTAGAAATTCTACCCTGCTTGTGTACTATTTTAAAACGTTTTTATTAGCTCGCTTTCTTGTCCGGTACAAATTTTGAAATCAATTTTATACTAACTTCTCGACGAGCTGGAGACTTGAAACTTGAAACATAGCTCACAAATGAAAGACAATGCAATATTATATAATTTAATTTTCATATTTCCCTTGGGCTACGCCCCATGGGCTTGTTTTTATTAAATCGCTTTCTTGCAAATTTTGATACTTCCCGATGAGCTAGAGACTTGAAATTTGAAACATAGCTCATAAATGGATGACAATATATCATTTAGTTTTAACATTTCCCTTGGACTACGCCCCATGGGCTCGTGTTTTTATTAGCTCGCTTTTAACTCGTTTTTATTAGCTGAAAGTAAAGATAAAACATCTGATTACAGATAATAAGGTTTTGGGGTTTGGTTATGTATTAAGAGGCTATATAAAATAGATTTAACATATTTACAGATTAAAGACTAAAAGCTAGATAATAATTTATAAATAAAAATACTTTTTAAAAATGCCAAGTTTTTAAACGCACTAAAAAGTATAAAATAATTTATAAAATTTCGAGTGAATAAATACTTGTAAGATTTAAAACGAAAAACGTGGAACGAATGCAATAGATCATAATAGTTCAATAGGTGAAGTTAATTGTAAATCAGCATGAGCCCCACTTTTTCGTTTTAAATCTTACAAGTATTTATTCTCTCAAAATTTTATAAATTATTTTATACTTTTTAGTGGGTTTAAAAACGTGGCATTTTTAAAAAGTATTTTTATTTAAAAATTTTGTATAAATACTTTAAAGAGTGCCATGTTTTTTCACAATAAGTTTAAAAAAAATATATATTTAATAGGCTCTGAAAAACATAATACACTTGCAATTAAGTTATCATGAATATATTATGAGACATTCAATATATACATTTTTATTTGTGATAATGTATCTACCTTTTAGAAATCTAGTGGCATGGAAAAAACACATACTTGCATATTAAAACATGTCCTAAAATTCGTCGTGCGAACTCTTTATTAGGGTTTATCTCACTTTCGCTTTATGACAAGCGTGACGTCAACACATTGTCACGTGATATGATCCTCATGACATGTTACAAGATTGTACACATGTCACATGTCATGTCGTGTAATACTGTAGTAGTTATGGTTATTATGGTATCATGAAACCATCATAGAGAAGGATTACAACACCATTGTCGTAATCTAAATTATTTTTATTCTATCTGTATCAATACTTGGATCAAAAATAAATATCCTATATATTTAGTTGCTAGTCATGGGTAGAGGAACCGGTGGTTTTGTTTGTTTTACAAAATCGTAGCTGAAATGTAATAAATTTATAGTTAATTTCTTTATACATTACAGAAATTATGAATTATTATTATTAATTAATTTATTTATTTGTTATTATAAATTAGTAGAGACATTTTTAATGTAGTATTACAAATGTGATGTGTTTGTGTTGTTCTAATGAAAGCTTTCATTAAAGTAAATTTGCATAGTTTTTTTTTTTTTTTTTTTATACAAAGAGCAGTTTGTAATTAGATGAATCGGTTTTAAAAAATTGATAAGTTGGCAAGTATTTTATAAGTAAATAGAGGATAATGCTATACTATTATAATTTTCTCCTTAGGAAATTGATGTTGATACATTTTAAAAGTCGCTATATACAATACTTTTTTTGTGGGTCTAAATATATTTATCATAAACGTAATATTTTTTTCCTCATATTATATAATTAAAGACAGCGGGCTGTAGTTAATATGTTTTTGTTGATTATTGTACGCCAAAAACATGTGTCATACAAATATTCCTGTTTAGATTCAAAATATCTTAAATTAATATATTTTTAATTTTTAATGTCGTATAAATACGTTTTAAAGAATAAATAGGCTTTTTTATGAAATTTTTAATAAACATTTGACGAACGAACTTATTTAATAAACCAATTAACTAGTTGTCTTGTGTTACCTAAGTCTTTTAAAGGAGTGAATCAAGGTGTCAAGTATAAATATGGAATGTAATAAAAGGGAATTCGAATCAATAAAGCTATTTAGTATTGGCTAAACAACTAAAAACTAAAAAACAACTAAAAAACTATTTAGTATAGTAGTGAAATAACTTTAGGAATAAGACCTATTCATACAAATATAATCTTGGAAAACGTATACAAAATGATAGTTGTATTTTCATAAAACATATGTTTCGGATTTGCTTGAGGATTTAGTTGTGAATTTATAACCACCTAAATTGTAACGATAGTTGAACAGACAGTGCATTTACATAATGTAAAAACTATTTATCCAGTTTGGAAATATTTACTCTCAATAAAGTATATTAAATATAAGTTTGGATTCAGAAATTTAACTTATACCACACCAATATACATTGATAATAATTAGTGGACGATCTCGTAAGCATTACATAATTAATTATTGATGTTAGTACATCCTCCAAAGCCA